TGAAGCAGATCTTCCTCTTTCAACATAGTTAAGGATATTAGGTCTTAGTTTATCTTTTCCTGTAGTTTTGGTCCCTGTGTTGCTTTGTGTCTTGAGTACAGCAGTTTTCTTTTGATTTGAAGAGTTTGGCGAGCCTGACTCTTCTCTTTTTCGTTTTTCTGTGTTGTTGTCTCTGGTTTTCTTTATTACTAATTTATCATATTTTATGAACGCAACATTTCCTTTCTTCTTTTCTTCTTCTACTTGTATCTGCAGTTGCTTGCGTTTTTCTAGCACTTCTTTGGTATAGTCTTTTTTGATGTATGTTCCTTGCGGAAGATTTGACTTATTTCGCAATATCAAGTGCTTTTTCCAAAGTGTTGTAATAGTGACTACGACTGGGCGGTTTTTGTTGTTGACCTGTTTTCCAATTCTGTATATTTTACTGATTTCATTACTATCCAGCTGTGTTCCCGAGTCCACTATGAGATCCTTTATGCAGTCTACAAGCTCACATTCAGTTTTTCCTATTTCTTCTATCCCAAAAAATACTAGATTGTTTTTCCGTTTTTCATCTTTCAAAAACTTCACTTCCGTTTCTAGTTCAGTAATTTTGGCTTTGAGTATACTATTTTCCTTCATGATAAGTTTCATTTTTTCATCAAGCGCTTCCATTACATTTTTCGTTACAGAAGTTGTAATAGCAAGTGTTTGATTGTTGAGTTTCTTATCTAGTATTTCTATTAATTTTTCCATATTTTTTTCCTCCATTCTAGGTTTTTTTTTTTTTTTTGGGAACACTGTGTTTTGTGTGGCAACACTGAATCGCGTTTAGTAATCACTGTATTTTCGTTGGTAGCCCTGTTGTGAATGTCACTTGTTGTGTCAGTTTTTGTTGTGATTGTAATATGTTGCTCACTTCACTTCAATGACTTAATAGTTTTTAGGTTATAGTTTAATGTTATTTGTTGTATACTTTTTCACAAAACGTTGGTTTCCACTGACTTTTTATATTAATTCCTTTTGTTTGTGTTTTCTTCAACAATATTAGATAGAAATACGGTTGAATGCACTGGTTTTTGCAAAGAGTTCGATAAATATTTACGGAGATCGTTGACGTACGTCTAAACTGTTCGATAACCGGAACCGGACCTATAGCTATAGCAAATAAGTGATTCTTAAATACCAAATAGTTAAAGTAATAACCAATTAATAGACCAATAAGTTCTGACCCAAAGAAGGGGGTAAAGTTTAATTTGTTAAGAACGTATTAGGTCATATTTAGTAATTGTCCCAAATTTTCAACTTCTATTTAATATATATCATGTTACCTCATTTTATGCTCGTGAACTTTGATATCCTATTTCAGACCTTGAATAGGAATATACCATTGAAGATGGCGTCGGTAATTTCAATGGTATATTCCTATTCAACCTACGTAATGTAGTGTTGTGATGGCCTCGGTAATGTAGTGTTCAGTTTCCCTTTTAGCTAATTGGTTTCTATGATATTAAGCATTACGAATATGAGCGTACTTAGATTGTTATGTGTAATGCACGGTCAATAATTACATTATATAAATAATACCCATATATGAAGACAGCATCAAAGTTTGCTGAACAATGTTCTAATATAATAATAATAATTAAGTTCTAATAAATTAAGGGTAAAGTTCGGTTTTTTGCATACAAATCGTATGTAATGTTTATTATTGACGAATCACTACCGATGAAAAAAATTTATGCAGAATTTATGAACTTGTAAATTTGAATAAAATGGAAATTTTTGAGGAAATATAAAAAAAAAAAATCGTGCCCTAAAACTTTCAGTACCTCATAGAAAATATAACAGTGACGTTCAATTAAACTAAAACAAGGTTATTATATTTTCAAAGAACACTGATAGTTACTAATAGGAAAATTATAGTGGCTTGGCACTAACAATAAATAACAATTTAGTTCGAATTCAATCTCTGACCTTGGCGCGCGACATGGATCCTTACCTCGCGACACTGGCCACTACGCCTCCGTACACGAGAATGGAGTTAGAATGCGAATGGTAGACTGCGGAATGAGCGACTACTCGGACATCCAGTTCTTTGCCTCCCCTCACCTGGACCATCTCCCAATTCTCGTTGTTCACATCTCCCAATTTTATTTTGAACATTCTGAAAAACATTTTTACTTGTTAATATTATGGGCCACTTGGTATTAAGCCGTAAACTATGTGATATAAGACTGAAATTTCAATTGCCTAACAGTTTTGCTGTAGAAATCGTATTATAATTTGAAAAACTATTTTACCTCGCAGAAAATTCACCGTCCACGGTACTACCTCCAAATAAATACAGTTCATCTTTTACGGCAGTGAGGCTGTGTCGAGTTAAGCCAGGTGGTGTAAACGAAGAGTTCAGTGCTCTTAGTGACCATTTATTTTGTTCTGCATCATACAACCACAGCTCTGAAGATAAACTACCGTCAGATAATTTTCCTCCATACAAGACAAAGCCTTTTCCATAAGCTGCTGCTGAGTGTCCATATCTTGGTTCTGGTTTAGTTACATTCGATTCTGACATAGCATCCGGTCGCTCAGTAAAATGTAAATAGGTTTCCGTAAACGGCGGAGGCATATGTGAGTACATAAGCGGTAAAGTTGATTTGTCATGATTCATGAATGATGAAACAACTGTATTTAAAATCGAATTCTTATTTCCAACTAGTAAGTTGCCACCTAAGTTGCTCTGAAACAAAAATTTTAAAATAACATATCCAGACAAAACCAATAATATGATGTGCAAGTTCATTATTGAAAATTACCTTGGTAAATAAAGTTAGAAGATATTTGTTACGATCTTCATCAGTTGGATTCCTATGCAAGATTTTTCCTTTTTCATCATACCATTGACTAGTAGAAAACCTAAAATAAAAATTATACTAACACTTCAGTCCCTCCTTATATCAAATTTACTGTTCATTAAATACAATAACAATTATCAGATCCACTACATTACATATGGGAATGTCATATAGAAAGTAGATAATAGAACAAATTGATCTCGAAAAATAGTGCTACCGATCTTACCTATAAATTTCCAGTGAACCTAACACTTTATTCAGATCATATCCTCCAAACACATACAAAGAGTCTGTGTGGTTTACGTAAATGGCAGTGTGAGCTGCCCGTCTTGTCATGCCGCTTTCAGAGCGAGAGAGCCAATGCCAACTATTGCCTTCTTTGTCATTTTTCTTTAAGGTACAAGATTCACCAGAATACCTACAGTCAAAGAAATTTTGAGTTTATAATGACATTACAGATGGTGGTATTTTTTTAATTTTCAAAATAAATAGCTGCTATTCAGTAATACATACATATTTCATATAAATAATTTTAGAAATTTTATTTGTAATTGTACCTCGAGAAGTAGATAATTTAAACATACCTACCCTTTTTTACATACACACTTTGCACCTTCACATTCCCCATTGCCTGAGCAACTGTTAGGACAGATTTCAATACTACAATCAGCCCCTCCCCAATTTCCGGCACAAAAACATTCATTCGAAATGCAGAGCCCTCTTTCAGTACAGTTATTAGGGCAATTGTGTATGGCATAGGCTGCACGGAATCCGTCTAATACATAATTTGTATCACTGTACAATAGTATTAACATCTGAAATAAGTAATGGTAATTTTCTGATTAAACTTAGATTTTTTGTAATTGTTTTTGTAAATGTTTCAATTGTACTCACATATCCACTAGAAGCAGTTACGTTTTGAGGTTCTGTTTTCCCACTAAAACTACCGAGCAGTGGAGCATCAAAAGAATCTCCATCATAAACAAAAACATAGTCATAGGAACATTCTGTGCCCATACGAATGAAGCTCAATGTTATGTATTGACTTTTGTTAGCTGCCTTGATAAGCCATTCGCAATGGGAATCCTGAAAATACAGATTAAATCAGTAGATTTTATTGAATATTGAACAATCTTGTTCAATCAACATTTAACAGCAAACATTTAAAAGACATCTACACCCTAATATGCAAGATTACAATTACATCTGACTGTGCCATGTCTTATAAATAATAATAAAATAAATGCATTTAGATATGATTTAGTTAGAATCCATTTCAATCCAGTTGTAGTGTAATGGTCAAGTTTTTATAGCAAATGTACTAAATACAGCCATCCAAATATTTCCACTATAACTGCTTACTGTGTTGTTAAACTCATATTTTAAATATTAATGATTTTGTCACTTTACAATTAATTTCAAAATTGTCTTTTCAAAAAGTTTTTAAAGTATTTTGGTTTGAAGGGTAGAGTTTACGTTATTCAAAACAATTGAAACTTTGACCTTACATCGAAATGTGGCATTCATGTGACGGTGTCGGAGGATAGCCGCTTAATACTAGATGGCCCATGAGGTATTCTAGGATATTTACTCAAAAAACTTGTACTCATGTATATTTACTCACCTGAGTGTAATTAGAGGTGCTAGGCCCGTCAGTGATAATACCGCTCTGCGCCGTGAAAACTCGCCGAGTCTTGTCGCAGGGTGAAGTAGACGCGGCGCACAATACGATCAATCCAATCCAGCTGACTACTACTAAACCTACTCCTTTTTCCCGAACTCGTGGACGAAACATGCCTTTTCCGGATACCCGCGAAACATAAGTCAAATTGCAAAGCCATATAATCGTGGATACACAATAAATTTAACTAAAATGTAAAATAAACACCAGTTATTATGTGACATCTACTTCAAGGCTAACCACTTGGGACACAATGCGACAATGATTTCTTGGACTATTGAACTTTCTTTATTGTTGGTTACTTCCAAATTTTATTGGCATTTGAATTTTGATTTTTATGCATTGAGCTTACTTTATTACTTTCTAATGAGCGTTTCTTACAAATAAACAATTCACAGAACCATCACAGCATTTTGACATTTGTGATAAGGTCCACAGATAAAAAAGGTTAATTACCTTCAATTTTTTTATAGCAGCTAGGAGAAAAGAAAAAGATTCCTGAACTAAACATGTTAGGGGATCATTAGTTTTTTCACATTAACTTTTTCTTTTATTTTCATTTAAATGTCACAAAATCTCAAACAAACTATGATTTTTCTCTCCTACTCACCTTCATAGGCGTTAGTGTCTTTACAAACAAAAAATAAAAGAATAGCATTTTTTTCCTACTTAAGCCTTGCGAGGCTATGCCAGCGAGTGAGTAGGTGAACTCACGGGGCTCTAACCTGAGGACGTTGCTAATAATAGCCCTAGTAAGAGCAATACTTTGCAGAATCGTAGATGTCCGGTGCATTCGTATTTTGCGATGCACTGGTGTTCCAATACGGCAGGCGGGTACCAATTTTTCTAATGAAAGACGTACTTAACAAATATTCACGATTGATTTCCACGGTGTAGGAAAAACATCGTGTAATAAAAATCAAATCCGCAAAACTATAATTTGCGTAATTACTGGTGGTAGGACATCATGTGAGTCCGCACGGGTGGGTACCACTACCCTGCCTATTTCTGCCGTGAAGCAGGAATGCGCTTAGGTTTGAGGGGTGGAGCAGCTGTTGTACTATACTGAGATCTTAGAACTAATATCTCAAGGTGGGTGACGGTATTTACGTCGTAAATGTCTATGGGCTCCGGTAAGCACTTAACACCAGGTGGGCTGTGAGCTCGTCCAACCTAAGCAATAAAAAAAAACTAACTATATTTCACATTTTAAAAGCAAACATAAAGTTGTTTTTCATTAAAATACGAATTTGAACATTTTTTCTAAAACAAAAAGACAACATTGATAGACTTTGAATGGCGTGCAAAGCCATATCAAGCGACTGCCTACCATTTGAATCAAGATAACGAATTGAACAGAAAATATGAGAGAAACAAAAACATCAAAAAACCGAAAAAAAGCGCCTTCCATGCGGGCTTGTAACGTATTGTAGATCTGATCTAAGGATAGAAGTGCTAATTATACCTACTGGATGCTAGGAGACCGCTTCCGAAAACGAAGACAGACGATAACTTAATAATAACGCCTTCGATGATGGGACGGAAAAAAAAATTCATTGCTGGTTTTTTTTTGTTAAGTAATGTAAGTACCTACCTCTTTTTATGAAATTATCGTTTCATTTAGCTATACTAACATGATGGAGCGTAAAAAATGGTAATAAAACTTAAAAAAAAAAATTAAAAAATTTTTTTTTTTAAAAATCAATATCGATTTTTTTCCGTTCCATCATCAAGTGTGTCATTAGTACTATCGTCTGTCTTCGTTTTCGGAAGCGCTCTCCTAACATCCAGTAGGTACTTAAAGACATCAGGAATATTCTAAGTCGTTCCAAGACTCTGTCCTGGTTAACACTGGATAACTTAACTGTTTCATCTGTATCTATTAACAGATGGATTTTGCACGCCCTCTAATTTCCAGTAATCCTCCATTTTACAGTATATTTAAATTCGGAAACTGCCATTCTCATGTGAATATACATTAATGGTTTAATCAAGTGTTTAGATTCGCGCAATTTTTTTAATTTACTTCAAAAAGTTTTAATTCTGTTACATTAATGTATAAAATAACACAAACTGCAATGATTAATTATTCATTTAATAAATATAAATTAATTTTGAACTTTTAACAAATTTATGTCAAGTCTAACTATAGTATAGCTTTAGTTGAAAAAAACGAAGTGTTTCAATTTGACGATAGTATAATTATTACTAGGCATCTACTAACGTTCTTGCCACATTATGTTTCTGTTGGTTAATTAAACAAGTAGCGTCATGCGAAACGTAGTAGAAGTATATCCTGAAACTCTCAATAACTACGCTGCTTTTTTTGAAATAAACAACGTGACTTATTTATATACTATTTATAATTCAAATAAAAAGTATATCTTAAAATATTTGGCAATGTTGCGGTTTTCAGAATTTTAACACTGAAATATCTTTTTTTTTAATAATTTATGGCGCATATGGTAAGTGTACGTTTGTGCTAAACTACTACCACCGACTTTGAAATGCTTCTTCAAACCGGAATGCTTCGTGGCAGTAGGCAGAATAGTGGTACCAACCCGTGCGGGCTTACCATACGCCCTACCTACAGTAAATGGGAGCTAACCATCGCAAAACGCTGTATTATTAGTCAGAGTATATTACTCAGAAAACTCATTCTACATTGAACTCCTTAGTTTCCTTTTACGAAATCTACGGGAAAAGGTGGGGTGGTGCTATTTTTATGCCAAGTGCCAGTTTTTAACATCAAGTATACGGATCCGGCTGCAGATTTCAGTTCACCAAAAAACTCGCATAGTCTCGATTTAATTGCATCGACCAAGATGGCAATGATATAATGAAAATAACGTTATTACAGATATACCTACTCGAAAATAGTCATCGTCTAATTGTAAATAAAATTAAAAAAATGTAACTATACTGAGACCTTAGAACTCATATCTCAATGTAGGTGGTGGCATTTACGTTGTAGATTTTTTTATTGCTTAGATGAGTAGCGAACTCACAGTCCACTTGGTTTTAAGTGGTTACTGGAGCCCATAGACATCTACAACGTAAATGCGCTACCCATATTGAGCTATAAGTTCTAAGGTCTCAGGTACAGTTACAATGGCTGCCCCACCCTTCAAACCGAAACGCATTACTGCTTAACGGCATACCTACCTACCCGTACCTACCCGCGCGAACTCACAAGAGAACCTACCACCAGTTAAAGTAAGTAGATGTATATGGGCTCCAGTAACCACTTAACACCGGGTGGGCTATGAGTTCATCCACCTATAAACGCAATAAATAAAAAAACTATGAAATTAACGAATCCGTATAAATACGGTTCCCTTTAAATTTTTACAGTTTAAATGATACAGATGACGACTGTGACGTAGTAGACATGAGAATAAACAATTATTTTATCAATAACACATAATTAATCACAGATTATAATATTGCTGTGAATTTAGGGTTTGAAATCATATTGGAAATCATTATTCATTTAAAAAAGGCTACTATTAGTAACTTTGAAAATGACATGTGAAGGTAAATGAAACATATATACCTATGTATATTTGCATACATAATACTATGAGGGTATAATTATTGAACTTTACAAAATATTTTATTAATAGGAAAACATGTATTTTAGTACATTTTCTTTGTCTACTGAACTGTCATTATATCTACCTAATTTCTGTCAAAACAAACTCTAACTACACAAATCAAATTGTGTTGAATCAGCTGATGAGATTATTTTAAAATTTTCTGATCTGATCTGAAAAAGAATTCTATATTGAAATGACGTTAACACATACATAACAAATGTTCATTTTTTTTTATTGAATAGATTTAGAAAAAGCAAAATAAAGAAAAAAATATTCGAATATAAGTATTAAAGAGAGTGGCAGCAAACGAAACGTGTATCGATCGCGTTCGTTGCTGACTATGCAATCCTGAGCGTGCCGCGGGTCAGACACTGTTCGTACTCTCGCACGTTTCGGAACTGTGTGCCCTCGTTACAATTTTCATGCACGCCTATTTTATATCAATTGATCGCAACACGTCCCTGGTTTTCCGGTCCAGGCAAACGTATTCGTTACAAATGCATAACATAATAAATAAGGTAGCGTGATTATCGACGTCTTAAACTTCTCTAAATTAATACATAAAAAAAAAAGTGTGTGTGTCCGCTCCGACGCACGACTGGAGTTTACTGGATATAAAAAATTAAACGAAACAATACGAGAAATAGTTCTATATTACGACAACACGATACACTACAGATTATTAACAAATTAACGAGACACAAAACAAACGACTAACAAATATATGAAAATACAATAATGAGAGAAACGCGCGATCAGTACGAGGCTTTGTGGCGGACTGCCGGCGCATGTACTAGCATGTCACACGAAATGCGCATAACGCATTTCGTGTGACATGCTAGTACGATTTTGGTCCCCATAATTTTCATACCCCGGGCCTATATATGTAAATCGATTCTAAAGGAGTAAACTCCAAAAAATGACATTTCTTGGAATTTTGAAATTGGAATTATTAAAATTCGCATATCTCTGTTAGGTCCGGCAAGAGTATAGTACTTTATGTCAACAATACGTTAAGTATCAAATGAAAGTAAAAAAATCGATTAAAATTAAATGATATTACAATTGAAAATTTCGTTACTTTGGAAAACAACCTAGTATTTGAAAAATATTTACGATGGTATTCCGGCTGTGACTGAAACGAGAGTTACAGTCAGACAAAACAAACACGGGATCTGAGTAGCAGCCACTGTTTGTGTTTGCGCTAAAAAAATGAACGACACCGGCTAGTTCATTTGCATCATAAACGTGTACTTAGGATGTATCATCACGCACGGGCAGTCGCTCATAAGCTCTCAAGAGCTGTTGGAAATTTAAATTTTTAATTACCGTTTTTTTTTACTTTACTGATTCAATACGTGAGTCTGTTATTAAATTTAATATAAGCGTATAATATATTATTATGTTCATGAATGATACATTATTATTTTAAAATGCGTACATATTAATAATAATAGCGAATTCCTCGATAAAGTTATCGTGGCCTAAAGGTTAAGACGGTGCATTTGTATCAAGCGATGCAACCGTGCCGGTGTCCGAATACCGCAGTCAGTTACCAATTTATCTAATAAAACCCGTACTTAACAAATGTTCACGAATGACATTCAAGGTGAACGAATAACATCGTGTAATAAAAATCAAACCCGTAAAAATTTTAATTTGCGTAATTACTGGCGGTAGGGCGTCTTGTGAGCCCCCACGAGTAGGTACCACCACACTGCCTATGTCACCTGTAACGCAGTAGGTAATATATTTTGATTTTAAGTGTGGGGCAGCCGTAACTATACTTGAGACCT